TTAAAGACCCCCAAGGAAATGACATGTAATAAGGAATAGCCTTAACTTTGGTGATAACATAGTTGCCTTATTGGATTTCTTCATGTATTTGTTGTTTTACTTTATCACGCTTTTCCACTGAGGTCACTGAGTGGTACTTTGTCACCTGCACTGGGTGACAAGCTTCTCTGGAAGGGATGAGTTCCCTTGCAGATTAATCACTATAGGTCAAGGGTCATGTCTAATTGTGTCCTCATTATCATATCCTTCACTGCAAAAGCTCTCTGCTTGTTGTGTCCATTTATCCTTACAAATGACTACACTTGTGGTACCGTGGTATATATGCCCCCCATCCACAGCCTGACCCTGGGCATTTTCTGGTGAATGCGGAAGGTTATGATTTAGTTTTTCTTTCTTCTTTTTTTCTGTTTTACAGGGAGAAGGAAGACAGGGCAATGCCAAAATACCCTGGTCGTCACAACCCTGCAAATTTTGGCAAATACGGCCATTGCTACTGCATCTGTGAAAAACCAGGCCAGGCACCATGCCCTAGCCGTGTGCCACACCCTGATGCAAAGAAACCAAAATGGTGGCAACAAAGAGGAGAAGCAGCGCAATGATGCACAAGTTAAGAGTAGAAACCCCCAATGACATGCAGTGCCCTTGGAAGGAGTTAGGTGTCAGTATTATCATTTCCATGCACTCTGAGAAGCAAGGAATTTAACTTGAACAAATATTGAGGAATGTTATTTAGAAGAAACAGAACTCGGAAACAAAATGAAGCAGTGGAAAGGATTACTTATGGTGGCATAAAAAAGCACTTCGCACCATACTTGTTGACCTTACGTTAACTTCAAAATATCTTAAAGTTATTAAGAATAACCTTGGGTTCTGTAATAGGGTTTTGTCGAGTAATTTGAAAGCTCCCCGGCAAGACTTTCAAGAGTTTTAAAATAGTATTTCCAAATTAAAAAAAATCCGGAAAATTTTCATCAGAGGTAGTACATTAGACTGTCAAAAATGTGCTTCTTTCTATTTAATGTGGCGCAAGAAGGTGATTCCACTCGCTTTACGGCTTTTTCTGAAGTTAAACTCGTGGACTATTTAAGGCATGTCTACAAACGTAAAAACGTAAACCTGTACCCCAAAATTATTATTCATTAAAAAGTATCCAAATAACTGAAATTATTTTTGGTTCAATCACTCTTTTAAAACAGAAAATGATTGTGGAGTTTCTGCAATCCTCTACGTGTTCTACAGTCAACCCTTCAGTGCCGTAGCATGGGGAGGGGCCGGGAGGGCCTGGTCCCCCCCCCAATAATTTTGACAGGCACGTTTTATTTGGTCAGCGGCCACGCTCTTCACGCTGCTCTTTGGTTCAATGTGTTCATTTCAGTTCGATAAAGCCTGAAAATTATTTATTTATGGCTTCAACAAAGAAAAATTAGGCGGGTATTAAACAAAGTATGCACTTCTTAACTGGGAAATTAATGCTCTCGGAAGGCTGNAACCCCCAATGACATGCAGTGCCCTTGGAAGGAGTTAGGTGTCAGTATTATCATTTCCATGCACTCTGAGAAGCAAGGAATTTAACTTGAACAAATATTGAGAAATTCTATTTCAAAGAAACAGAACTCGGAAACAAAATGAAGCAGTGGAAAGGATTACTTATGGTGGCATAAAAAAGCACTTCGCACCATACTTGTTGACCTTACGTTAACTTCAAAATATCTTAAAGTTATTAAGAATAACCTTGGGTTCTGTAATAGGGTTTTGTCGAGTAATTTGAAAGCTCCCCGGCAAGACTTTCAAGAGTTTTAAAATAGTATTTCCAAATTAAAAAAAATCCGGAAAATTTTCATCAGAGGTAGTACATTAGACTGTCAAAAATGTGCTTCTTTCTATTTAATGTGGCGCAAGAAGGTGATTCCACTCGCTTTACGGCTTTTTCTGAAGTTAAACTCGTGGACTATTTAAGGCATGTCTACAAACGTAAAAACGTAAACCTGTACCCCAAAATTATTATTCATTAAAAAGTATCCAAATAACTGAAATTATTTTTGGTTCAATCACTCTTTTAAAACAGAAAATGATTGTGGAGTTTCTGCAATCCTCTACGTGTTCTACAGTCAACCCTTCAGTGCCGTAGCATGGGGAGGGGCCGGGAGGGCCTGGTCCCCCCCCCAATAATTTTGACAGGCACGTTTTATTTGGTCAGCGGCCACGCTCTTCACGCTGCTCTTTGGTTCAATGTGTTCATTTCAGTTCGATAAAGCCTGAAAATTATTTATTTATGGCTTCAACAAAGAAAAATTAGGCGGGTATTAAACAAAGTATGCACTTCTTAACTGGGAAATTAATGCTCTCGGAAGGCTGAAAATGCTATTTCAGTGACCCTATATTTCAAAATCTTTCAGGGGAACATGCCCCTAGACCTCCCTACTAGCAGCTCGAGCCCTCGGCACTCGTGATTGGCCCCCAATAAATCTAACCTTCCTACGGCACTGCTCTTTCTGATATCCAGCAGAGTCACAAGGATATATGTGAGCGTTTCTAATACACTGGTTCCTTACGCGCCTCTCGATTGGTCCAGTTCTTAAGTGACGGTTACCCCCAAGTAAGACAATTACAGAAGGAAGTTGGCAAAGAGCTTTTACAGTAAACAGTGAAAGAGCAGTTCGAACATGAAAGCCTTCTTCCTGGACATTAAAACACTTTGAGAGAATTCCTTCAAGGCCAAAATGCGTTTGTAAATTACCCAACTGGTTTTCCATTGCCCTCCAATCGCTGCAGATGCACTGCCCATTATGGACAGTTCTAGCTTCAAAACAAATCAGAAAATCATGATATTCACGGACAAAAAAAATACACTCGTGTAGCTATTCAGGTCCAGGCATTTTAGACATTTCGGAGAAAACCGAAAAAGGAGAAACTAAGGTTATTTTATAGCCGCATTCAAAAGCTTAAGGCTGTAACAGACAGTGAGTGTGAGAGTAATGGTAGAAAACAATTCCTAGTATACTGCTACGATTTCTTCTCTTTTTTTAATTTAGTTACTACCTGTAGGTTTCGAGACGATTAGAACGTGGGCCTTTGTAATATGACGCGAGTGAACAATGTAAGGCCAGACGTAAACAACCTCCAAACAATTTGGAGCAATAAGTCCTTGTTTGGGAGCAATATTGCTTGGGGGAATAATAATAATAATAATAATAATAATAATAACAATAAAGATTTGTTTAACAGGTCCATCGGGTGGCTTTTCCCTGTTAAAATTACATTACAAACAAATTATTTACAATTATAAAAGTAAAAAAATGAAAGTGATGCATTAAAAAATAGAAGTACGACTAGTTTGAAGTTATAGTAAAATTAACTAACATTCTATACTCTATAACATAAAAATTTCCTTGAAAGTCTTAAAAATATTCCGTACTGTTTACAGTTTCTAATGAATTCTGGAACATCGTTACATAGATACATGTAGGAGGCATTATCTTGGAAAGTGTCGTTTTTTGTCGGTACCGCTAATCTAATGGAATTGCTTGAGCGCAGTTTCTTGTGTCATGCCTGTTTTATTAACTTTTAGACAATTTTTAGGTAAAGTCTCGATGTTATGTAAAGCTTTAAAGCATGATTTCAGGAGGTTGAAATCCCTTCTCTCGTTAATTGGAAGCCATCCGATTTTAAGTACATTCCGACAGTTAAGTTTGTAGGTAGACGGCATACCCGCATTTGTACATCTGATGGCGGTAATTAAGGAAATGCTCAGACCGGTATTAATCTTTCAAAATAACAACCAATCAACAACGCCCTCAGAGTCAGTCCGGGAACAGTTGTCCTTCTAGTAGTAAAAAAGGTGGCCCCAACCGGAGCAAAATTTGTTTAGAGCTGCACCCACAGAAGAAGCAAGTCCAAAGGGCCGAAGAACTCAAGACAGAACCTTGCAGCTCCATATGTCAGCGCCTTTTCCCCAGTCAAAGTCAACAACCAAGCTTAGAGTTGTACTTGGTGCTTTTACAAAATCTAATGGTGTAGCCCTAAACGATTGTTTATATCTTGGACCACTTCTCGCAGAGAACATGTTTGATGTATATTTATCAGGTGACCGTCGTACAAAAGGCACTTCTTATGGTGGATATGGAGAGTACCCCTTAAAAACCGTTCAAGTGCACCCATTGGCTTGGTTCAACTGTGAGGTGACTGTTTACGTGGATCAATGAGGTCNATAGAAGTACGACTATTTTGAAGTTATAGTAAAATTAGCTAACATTCTATACTCTATAACATAAAAATTTCCTTGAAAGTCTTAAAAATATTCCGTACTGTTTACAGTTTCTAATGAATTCGGGAACATCGTTAAAATAGATACATGTAGGAGGCATTATCTTGGAAAGTGTCGTTTTTTGTCGGTACCGCTAATCTAATGGAATTGCTTGAGCGCAGTTTCTTGTGTCATGCCTGTTTTATTAACTTTTAGACAATTTTTAGGTAAAGCTTTAAAGCATGATTTCAGGAGGTTGAAATCCCTTCTCTCGTTAATTGGAAGCCATCCGATTTTAAGTACATTCCGACAGTTAAGTTTGTAGGTAGACGGCATACCCGCATTTGTACATCTGATGGCGGTAATTAAGGAAATGCTCAGACCGGTATTAATCTTTCAAAATAACAACCAATCAACAACGCCCTCAGAGTCAGTCCGGGAACAGTTGTCCTTCTAGTAGTAAAAAAGGTGGCCCCAACCGGAGCAAAATTTGTTTAGAGCTGCACCCACAGAAGAAGCAAGTCCAAAGGGCCGAAGAACTCAAGACAGAACCTTGCAGCTCCATATGTCAGCGCCTTTTCCCCAGTCAAAGTCAACAACCAAGCTTAGAGTTGTACTTGGTGCTTTTGCAAAATCTAATGGTGTAGCCCTAAACGATTGTTTATATCTTGGACCACTTCTCGCAGAGAACATGTTTGATGTATATTTATCAGGTGACCGTCGTACAAAAGGCACTTCTTATGGTGGATATGGAGAGTACCCCTTAAAAACCGTTCAAGTGCACCCATTGGCTTGGTTCAACTGTGAGGTGACTGTTTACGTGGATCAATGAGGTCCAAATGTATCACAAAAGTGGACGGTAAAGAGAAATTGAAGTACTATTACTTCATGTCCCTCTACCTCTGGGTGAAAAAACAAGGCCGTTACCCAAAAAGCCTTCCAGGATTTCATAACTACGTGGACCCCACCGATCTGGATCAGTGTATTGGCGTGCTACAGTGCAAAGTCCTTCCTCCGCGAGATCTAAACCATCCCGTGCTTTCATACAAGGAGAAGGGCAAATTGATCTTTCCATTGTGCGCAGCCCCTGCGCTCAAGATCAATTGATCCAACCCGTGGTGGGCAATTTGTACTTGTGTAATCAGATGAACCCTGTTAGGCACTTGGTGAACCCCGGAAATCTAGGAGGGTGTGGACAAGGGCCACAAGATTCTTCACGTCGAAGACACTGGTACTTCCTCCATTCACCAGTAGCTCTCTTCGAAGATTACAATGACAGATGGTTGAAAATAACGGAAGAAGCCAGCTTGAGAGGAGCTAAACTGGAAAAGGCCTGCTACCTTCACGATACTTTGGCTCCCCATAACAAGCATGAAGTACAATCCAGGTCGCAGAGCCATTGGCCAAGATCATGCCCAACTCCATGTGGGGCAAGTTTGACCTACAATTAAACAAGACCCGAGTCAAAGAATTCGTTGACCAGGTGATAATAGAAAACCTTCAAGTCAGCAGCACGAGAAATCACAAGACTATGGACCACCCGGGAATAAAACAGCACCCTGCCAAGGCACGGATGGAGTGAACTTTCACTCTTGAAATGGCCCCTTGGTGGGTTGGCATATTTAAGAGGGTTGTAAATTTGATAACCGTGCTTTCCTATGAAGAGTGAATGACAGTAGTTGTTGAAGTGGAAATGATTCTGAAATGCAGACCTCTGTCGTATGTGTCATGTAAGGACCCTGACGAGCCCTATCGCACCCCGTAAGTGGCCAACGTGTTGAGTCTTCCAACAGTAATATTAATGACATTCCGGATCACGACATTGACGTCCAGCCACAGGAACTAAGCAAGAGAATGCAGCACCTGAGCAACGTCCTGAACCACTATTGGAAGAGATAGAAAAGAACACCTGATCAAGTTGCTAAATTCCCACCGTTACCTCGATTAAAACGACACTAGCAGAGCCGCATCCATTGCAGGCACCGTCTTGCACGAAGATAAGCCCAGGGGAAAATGGCATGTTGTTGCAAAATTTTAGAACTCATCGCTGATCTGAGGGTTGTGTGGGGAGCTGTTGTCCAAGTCCAAATCAAGGAAGAAAATCTACGAAACTAAAGCGTTCAGTGAAGCGGCTTTACTCCTTGCAGATGCAGTGCGAAGTTCTTGTGCAACAAACAAACGAAGCTTGGTAAAGTTGAAATCCTGATCCAGTTACTTCCGAAATGTATAACGAGCCGCGCGCTCTTAGCAACCAGAAAAAAACTCAGTATACAGCTGAGATCGGGGACTTTTTGGTCTTCGATCTCTGCTGGATGCCCAGGAACTTGTAACCTTCATTATTCCATTAATCTCTGATCGTATCTCGCATTAATATAATTAGGAGCGTTAATTTCCACGCAATCATGTCATCATCCTAAGGCGAGATATTTAATTAAAAGAGCGGTATCCAAGGCTTTTGTTTCGGATAAAATTGTTCAGTGCCGTCTGCCGATCTCACAGTTAACACAGGTAAAAACAAATCGGTGCTGTGTAGTTTACATTGATTTACGAAGAAAAGATAGGCCAGCAAACAACTATTTGGGAAGCATCATAATGAAAAAGAAATTGAAGATATCTTTTGTTTCGGTGTTTGACGCGAATTCCAAAATATGCATGATTTTCTCAATGATACGCTATTGTTGCATTTTATAACGAATAGTTTATTTATTGTGCGAGCTTGCATGACACTGTATCCATCATGTTGCATGGTATACATTATATTCATACAGTGCTTATAAATCACTGACCTCTAAATTATTTCTTTCGGCAAATCCTCTAGAAAGTTACATTTAGGACTGTTGCTTAAGGTTTTTCAACGGTTCTCAAGATACTAAGCGTTTTATATATCCTAGAAGCGCTCAGTCAGGCATAATAATATAACAGGACTTCTTCCTAGATGAACCTGATAGGATATAGAACGACAGCCTAAAGTTTTTTCTACGGGTAGAAATGCTAAACGTGTTATATACCCTAGAAGCGCTCAGGCATAATAATATGCTAGGACTTCTACCTAGATAAACCAGAGAGGATAATTTATAGAACAAGAGCCTAAAGGTTTTTTCTGCGGGTCGAAATGCTAAACGTGTTATAAATCCTAGAAGTCCTTAGGCATAATCCTATGCCAAGACTTCTTCCTAGATGAACCAGAGAGGATATAGAACAACAACCTAAAGTTTTTTCTACGGGTCGAAATGCTAAACGTGTTATTTATCCCAGAAGCGCTAAGGCATAATAATAAAGAGATTAAGCATTGCGTTTACATGAATTTGTACTACGTGACCAAGATTTCCCTTTAATTGTTATTTACTATTCATTATAACCACACGAAAATCGGTAGATTCACCCCAATTCTATCCATAACAATTGTTTTTTGCTGACTTCTAGATTTTGTGGTTAGGGTTAGCATTAGCTCAGGGATACTTCCAGGATCGAAAATATTTTATCCTTACAAGTTCTAAATATTTTCCCTAGAAGTCTTCGACAATACCCGTCTTTTACATTTGGTTTCAGATTCTCAACACAAATCGTTTTCCCAGGAGCTAACCCCAATCCTACCCCTAGGGCTAGGGTTTTGGTTAGGGACAGGGTTAGCTTAGGGTTACTTCCAGGATCGAAGATATTTTATCCTACCAATTTTAAACTTTTTTCCCTGAACGTTTATTGACGATACACATCTTTTGCATTTGGTTTCAGATTCTCAACGCTAATCGTTCTCCCAGGAGCTAACCCTAACCCTAACCCGTTAGGGCAAGCTTAGGGTTATTTCCAGGATCGAAGATTTTTTATCCTAACAGCTTCTAAATATTTTCCCTAGAAGTCTTTGACGATACGCATCTTTTGCTTTTGGTTTCAGATTCTCAACGCTAATCGTTCTCCCAGGAGCTAACCCT